TTATAGAATTGTAGTTGCTTCATTTTTTTAATCTCTTGTTTTTTCTTGTAAACCCACTCTGGTTCGGAGTGGCATATACATATGAGAAATAAATAAATACATAAACACATAAATATATGTTTATCACGTCTGCTAACTTAAGCATAGGCAAACTATTATGCCAAGAAAAGGGTGGAAGTCTGCTGTGAGTGAAGCCGAAGGAACTTTGAAAGGAATCATTTAAACGCAGTTTCCAGTTGAAAAGTCATATTAAAATGACCGCAGGCATTTTGCACAAATAAGAAACAATTCTCTCCTTTGGCATGAGCATTTTTATTGCTGCATCCCCTATTTTCAGTGAGGGAAACTTTTAGAAATGGTTTGAAAGGCAAGGAAGAAAATATAAGATTGTTCTATGTGCCCTGTTTCTGCAACCACGCCTTTGAACAAGCTATGGGTTGTTTGTTTGTTTGTTTGTTTGTTTGTTGTTGTTGTTGTTTTTTGAGTAAGAAGAAAAATCTCCAGTAGCAAACTGTTTCCTAGAAAAATGGTATTAACATATAGTGTATTGTCTCCTTAAAGTGTTTTTTCCTCCACTAAGTACCAATTAGTTTTGAAATTTATATGTAGATTAATATTGTGATGCAAGAAAGACACGCCATGTTTACTTAAAATCTCAGTTAATTAGCAACCACACCTGCTGCTTAAGCATGAAATTAATAATATCATTTGTTTCCTCAATAAAAATAGAAGGTTTTAAAAATGCATGTTTACTGAGGCCCGTATTTATCAGTGAATATTATGAGTGTTATGCTGTTTGGGGCCTTCTTGATAGCTGGAGGTTCTTCTCACCATAACCTATGGTCCGATCACCACTTGTTTGGTTTATGCAATGCACAATACATGGGGCTGCCTTTGAAAAGCATCTAGAAACTGCAACTGATACAAAACGTGGAAGCCCATATATTAGGAAATCAGTCATGATAATCAAATAAAATATCTTTTATAGTCACTGTACTGGTTACCAACTTTCAGGGCACAATTCAAAGTTCTGGTTCTGGTCTATAGCATTTAGCACTGAGGTACTTAGAAAGCCACTTTTTCTGTGAGGAACTGGCCTTCCCAACTTGTCCATTGTATTCCCATCAATGTATTTAAGCTCTCTGGTGGTTGGTGAGGTTGGGAGAAGGTTTTTTTGAGTGGCAGCTACCATATTATAAAATAGTCTTCCTCTGAGAACCACTTTGGTGGCTGCCTTGAAACTATAAAGACAAGAGTTGCTCTGGAGGATTTTTAGGGAGAAAGTTACCACAATGGTGTTGATTATAGATTCATGCATTTATGGGTTTTTAGATAGCAATTATTTTTTGTGCAAGGATGTAGAACGACTATTTTTTTCAACTCAACGATATATTAGCACATAAACTAATAAATAGATCTTTGTTAGAATTAGTACTTCTCTGGATTACAATAACAATGTGTTTTAGAACATAGGATTTGGTAGCAATAAATAGCCAAAGGGAAGATTCAGAACATCATTTTTCATTTTGGAGGTTTTTGCTTCCAAATCAATTGTTCCCCAGATAATTATTTCACAATGGATTTTGAATAAGAATTAAAGTGAATTAACAGGTGGAAAGAAATTCCAGGGAGTGGTTGTCTAAATAAGCAGAAGATGATAATTATTTTCAAAGTCTTGATGAAAAGGCTTTACTTACAGATACTTAAACATATAGAACTCCTGACAAGAAGCTTCAATGGCTTATTTGATGATTTGTGTTGAGATAAATTGTTATTCTTGTATCCATATAAACTTATAAAAAAGGAGGCACCAGATGTTATGAAGTTTGACATCAACAGTTTCTAATCAAGCCCAGACTTTTAATCCATTAAGGTTTGAGCTTAAGTATTCCAAGATTTGCTAAAAATATGAAACTTCTTAAAACGTTAATTTATTCATCAGAGATGCATATTCTATCTTTAATAATATATTTGAAAACACACAAACCTACATAAAAAGTTCCATGTCAAGGAATTTCACAGAACAGAAACTGCCACAGGTATTCCAGAGTGGTCAGTTAAGGTTATTCTAAAATTATCATTCTGAACTGACAGGATGCTGGTCTTTAATAATGTATGAGAGAACATTTATAAAAGTTTTAATATTCTTGAATGTTTTAAGGAGAAAGTGTAACAAGGAAACTGAAAGCAAATTTAAATTATGGATGCCTTTGGAACTTAAGATGCATGCATACTTACTTACAGTGCTTAGCTGAAAATAGCATGCCCCTCTCTCTTTGGCCTTTTTGCATGATACTCAATTATGCATATAGAAATACCATTTGGACCAGGGGTGAAATGCTCCTGGTTCAGACCGGATTGCCCGATCTGGTAGCGATGACGGTGGGTAGTTTGGAGAACCCGTAGCAAAAATCCCTGCCCCTCCCCCGCCCATCTGAGCTGCGCGATCATCAGAGGCTTTTTTTTTTTTACTTTTAAAAGCATTTTTTCTTCAGCCAAAAAAATGCTTTTAAAAGTAAAAAAAAATCCTTTGATGATCGCGCGACTCAGCTGGGATCGTCAGAGCCTTTTAAAAGCATTTTTTCTACAACCTCTTCAGCCAAAGAAGTTGTAGAAAAAATGCCGTTAAAAGTAAAAAAAAAAAAAAAAGTTGGCCACGCCCACTCAGTCACATTACCACCCCGCCAAGCCACGCCCACAGAACTGGTAGTAACAAATTTTACATTTCACCACTGATTTGGACCTATAAATTAGATTTATCTTATACATCATTTTAGAAAGCAGCATGCAACTTAAAGATTGCAACAGTTTCTACTTCTCTTTTGAGAGCTCATTGATGTAATTAGGGAAACAACTAAGCTATTACAAATTTAGAGCTATACGGAAACTAGTTTCAATCTTTTTTAAAGAAATGCATTTTTATTCATTTCTTACTATCACCTTGTGAGATAGATTTTTTTGTCAACGAATGTGCATCATTTGATATTTTGACTAATTTTCACTGGGGTCTTTATTAGACATAATTTTTGAACATTTAATAAATGAAACAACCAAGGGGGAAAAAAGAAAAAGAATTAAGATAAATATTAAAAGAAAATCATGATTATACAATGATGCTGTTCTGTAATATGTTCAGTCTGGTTACAGAATTAGCTCACTTTGTGAATTTGCATAATACCTGGAGCTGTAAACTAACCAAGACAGCTGAATTTGCACTATATTTTAAGCCACAAAAACCTTACCCAGATTAGAAATACTCATGTTTTATATTTCTGCAAATGCAGCCACTTGGTCTTTAGGTTTAAACATGATATATATGAATCAGTACAATACTCGAGATAAATTTTAACCACATTCTTGATCTCAAAAACATGCCTTCATAGGAAGACTAGATAAAGTACAAGTGTGAGGTTATAAAGCTTATAAAAGCCATTTAACAATTTTGGAGGATAATCCTTATGTATGTGCCTTTGTATAGGTGTATTACAATTACTGTTATTTTTTACCTTTTAGTAAGGAGACTTGTTCTCCCAGCTGTTTGAAAGACACATCAATGTGTTTCTAAAGGAAAAAAGCATACTATTCTCAAATAGAACCCCTAAATTCCCAGATTCAATCCAGGTATCTATATAGGCAAAATTAAGAAAGATCTCCAGACAATCTGGAGAGTTTTTAACACATGGAAAACATTAAGTTCGATTGATTGTATGTCATTAAAAAACAATCAAGATCAAGTGAGGTACTAATAGCACTCTATAAAGCCTTAGTAAGACCACACCTAGAATACTGCATCCAATTTTGGTCACCGCACTATAAAAAAGATGTTGAGACCCTAGAAAAAGTGCAGAGAAGAGCAACCAGGACAGGGGTGAAATGCTCCCAGTTCCGGTAGCGACTGTGGCAGGTGGTTCGGAGAACCAGTAGCAATGGCGGCGTGAGGCTCCACCCACCTGCCTGGGTGTCATTACTTCCTGGTTTTAACCAGGAAGTAATGTGTTTTTTACCCTCTGCGCATGCGCGTGCACTTCCAAACCAGTAAGGAAGGTAAGTGGATTTCACCCCTGAACCAGGATGATTAGGGGACTGAAGACTAAAACATATGAGGAATGGTTACAGGAACTGGGTATGGCTAGTCTAGTGAAGAGAAGGACCAGGGGAGACATAATAGCAGTCTTCCTAATTTTGAGGGACTGCCACAGAGAGAAAGGGGTCAAACTATTTTTCCAAGGCATTTGAAGGCCGGACAAGGAATAATGGATGGAAACTGATCAAGGAGAGATTCAATCTAGAAATAAGGAGAAATTTTCTGACAGTGAAAACAATCAACTAATGGAACAGCTTCCCTTTGGAAGTTGTGGGGGCTTCATCACTGGAGGCTTTCAAGAAAAGACTGGACTGCTATTTGTCAGAAATGGTGTATATTCTGATATACCTTGGATATTAATATTTTTACTGTACAGAATTTCAATATACTCCTTACATCTTTGATTTTCTTTAAATTAGTCACCGACTTTTCGTCGGGCCCTTAAAACCTACCTCTTTCAGTTAGCCGGGCTGTCCTGATTTTATGATGGGGTTTTTAAAATTTGAAATTGGTTTTAAATTGAAATGTTTTAATTATGGGCCAAATTATTTAATTATTTTAAATCTATTTTAACTTTTGTATATAAAGTGTTTTACTTGGCCTGAGTCCGAAAGGAGAAGGGCGGTATAGAAATTTGAAAATAAATAAAATAAATAAAATAAATATGTCCTTTGATGACTTTTAGAAAACCAACTTGAAGAATCTCCCACTGAACTGGAGACACTTTTGGAATTCTTTTCTTGTTTTTTTAAAATTTTTCTCTCTCTCTCTGTTTGTGTGTATTCCCATCTTCAAGGTCTGAAATACTGAGATCTTTGTCTCGCTTGGTTTTGCTTCTCTTCTCTACTTGGCAATTTCCACTATTTGTTCTGATATCCTTATCTCTTCTTGGTCTTTTCATATTCCTCCTTAACAATTTTAATTTCTTTCAACAGTTTATTTTAATTGTACATCAAAACAGGTGCTGAGGAAGTCTGACAGCAGAATAAGCAAATACGTACAAGCATAAATCTTTACACCTACATCAGTATTTTTGTATTGTGTAATCATCATTTTATAGTGTAGCAATTAATTTTAAGAAAGAGCGTAGCCTTTGACATTTTCTAACAGATACCAAAGGATTGTTTCTTGACCGTATTGCTTGTATTGACAAAAGTTGCTTTGCTCCAGCAGATACACCTCTCCTTGATTTATATCAGAGAAAATAATTTTGTTTTCTGATTCCAATTTTCTCTTCAGTCTCTTGTGCAGACCTCTTCCAAATCTTCAGAGGATCGTGGAACAGCCTGCAAAGTGGCTTGCCAAGCTTCAGAAGTGGTCCAAATGGATGAAAACAAACAAACAAACATTCACCGCTTTCTGTTTACGGTTACCTAGAAAGGAGTAAATGTAATGTAATTTGATTTGAACAGCAAATTAAAAAAAAATTATGCTTCATATAGAAAGAAATGGTACGTGGTTCCTCCAAATTGCTATGCATTCATATCCCATGGTCATGCTTAATAAGAAAATTGTTTTTTGTTTCCTCCATGCAAATGAGTGACTAATTGGTGATGCCCCACTGCCACCTTTTCTATGTAGTCTGTTTACATGCACAGACAACACTAGTGACTTTGATAACATGGATAATGATCAGCAGCTGCAATATTTCTGTTGCCTCAGCCTTTTTTGAAGCGACATAATAAATATGTTCCCTAAACTTTCAAATGCTATTCAGACTATACTGTTTTTGATGAATGCTACAGCTGAGTTTACACCCAGCAAATCTGTGAAATTCATTAGAACTGATATTCGGCATGAATATTTATTTCTGCACTACTTCCAGTCTTGGAAAAAGTCATGGCACAGATAATATACAGCATAGCATTATTTTATTGCAGGACAGCTGTGTTTGTATAGGAGGTTTTTTTTTTCCTACCTCCTTTCTTTTTTCTTTTTGACAAAATTCCATCTTATGGCTTCAAACAAATTGGTTTTAAAACATCCAAACTGAATTCCTGATCCCTGTTAAATGCATGTCTAATTTATTTGGCAGTCTTTCCAATTACGCACCCTATAAACAAAAAAAAAAAAAAAAAAAAAAAAATTCCCTGTCAAACTATACATTCCACCAGCATCATGAATGCTTAGATCATGGACAACTGCTTCTGTATCCTGACACTCAAGGAATGTTATCCCATAAGAAAAGGCGAGTTCCTGCATAGTTCTCATTGTAACTAAGATTGGTTTATGAAAAGAGTTCAGACATGTGCCTTCAACCTGGCCTTTCACATTTCTTATTGTAATTTTTGAATTTTGAAATTTTCATATTGCCTTAGTATTTTTGATATACATTATTGTTTTAATAATAATAAAAAAAATTACCCGGGTGATTACAGCCCCTCCACCCAAAAGTTAAAATCAGCTCGTTTAAAATATAAGACTCTGGTATTATCTTCTATTGCTTGTGTTTGCGTTATGTTGAATTCTAGTATGACATGGTCACTCTCACCCAAGGTTCCTGTAGTTTCAACTCCCTCTATTACTTCTTCTGTGTTTGTAAGAATTAAATCCAGTATGGCTGTCCCTCTAGTTCTCTCCTCTACCTTTTGGACAACATAGTTGTCAGCTAGGTTGGATAGGAACCTATTTGATTTCTTACTTGGTGCAGAATTAGTCTTCCAATTGATGTCAGGGTAATTGAAGTCCCCCATTACTATAGTAGTGTGTTTCCTACATATATTTGATAGTTGCTTAGCAAAAAGGACATCTGTTTTTTTTCTGCTTGATTGGGTGGCCTAGAGTATACACCTATGGCCATGACATTCTTTTTTTTTTTATTTGACCCATATGCATTCTATGAGGTTTTTGTCTTTGGTTTCGTGCATTTCTGTAACAATATAGTGGTGCTTTACATACAGTGCAACTCCATCTCCTCTTTTATGGGGTCTGGGTTTTTTTGAACAGTTTGTATCCTTCTATCAGTCATGGGCTTCATGTACAGGTAAATGTCACTACATATAGAGTAACATCATGCATTTTAATATTCTGTTGTTTGTTGAAGCCCTGCTGGAAATTGAAGAAAAGTGATGATATGGAAAGAAAAAAAGGATCAACAAACCGAACCCTTGATGAGGAGAGTTGGGGGGAGGAGAAGGGAAATCAAGAAGGTATCTCAATTGTGTGGTCAACCCCCCTCCCCATTTTTACATTCATTGATTTTGTTTGACTCCCTCAGTCCCATGGAGATACCTCCCTATTTGTAATATTTCCTCCCATTTTTAGACCCTCTAAAATTCCAATTTTGGGAAACATCCCGGTGGCCAGTATGAGGCAAAGGGGTTGATTTGACATTAGTTCTCTTATCCTCTGAAGTCAAAGAAAAAGCTTCAATCTCAGAAGGAGAAAACCAAGCAATTTTATGATCCCGGGATCATGTCCAGGAACAACAAATGCACCCTTCATAAATAAATAATCTTATTTTGAAGGGTAAGTCTTTAGAAACAGGATGGTACACTTTCACAATTTTCTAGAGAGAAATATTAAAGGGATGTCTGTCCCCCGGAAATTCGTAAGATTTCTGACCTCCGGGTATTTCGCTGCGCACTCAAGACCCTATTGTTCCGCCAGGCTGGGTTAGCAATATAATTTTAAATTGGATGTTTTAAATTTTTGGGGTTTTAAATTAAGCCAAATTTATTTAATATTTTTAAATTATTTTAAATTGATGTTTATTCTGTTTTTTAATTAGGCTGTACACCGCCCTGAGTCCTTCGGGAGAAGGGCGGTATAGAAATAAAATTATTATTATTATTATTAATAATATGAATTCCTGGTTATTAATATAGCAGGATCCAATCTGGGACATATATATTTGCCTTCATTTGTATTAATATAGCCTTGTATTACTTCTCATTATTTGTAAAGCTGGTGTTTTATCTTATGCTTTTTCCTAAATATGATTAATATAAATATATGCTTGATATTAAAAGAGTTTTTAAAATTTATCCATTTTTGAGAAAATACATGGAACAAAGACATGGGAACAAGCCTTTTATGTTTGCATTTCCAACTTTGTATTTCTGAAAAATGCCATTATCATTTGCTAATTACATTGTTGGGGCTATTAACATACATATTTTTGAAACAAAAATAGCTAAAAACATACATTCATTGGAAAATGTTTGAACAAAGTCTCATGATCTACTTTACGACTGTCATGTTCTTTTCCATTGCTTAACCTTGCCAAGCATAGACATCTTTCCAAATTTATCATCTGTTTACATCACTAGCTGATGTTTGAGAGAAGTCAACAAAATCATCAACCTTTATTTGATTTCTTGATTTGAGGGGTTGGTCCTCTTTCTTTATTTGATCTTGTAGAGAATAAAATGCATGTATTAGAAACAATATAAAATAATATATGTGCCCATTTAGTGTTGACTTTTTCAAACTTAGAAAAAACAAGCCTGACTTTGAAAAATGGGGAAATGAAGTATAATCAAAATAACACCTTGAAATTTGAAATGAAATTACACTAAAGTTAACTTCAATCCCATTGATTCCAATACCTCTGTTATAAATATGATTTGAAATAACTGAGATTATTTACTGAAAAAGAAAAGGAGAAATGATTGTGTTTGAAAAATCATTTATAACTCTCTGTTTAGATGTAATGATTTGCAATACATAGATCAATGTTTCCCAACCTTGGCAAGTTTAAGAGGTGTTCTGGTTGGATAATTCTGGGAGCTGAAGTCCCTACCTCTTAAACTTGCCACGGTTAAGAAAAACAGACATAGATGATCATTTTGCAACTTGAATTCCTTCAGTGTTACTTTCTTGTAAGGACGTAATTCCTGTTGTTGAAAAAATATTATAATCAACTACCCTCTTACTCAAAAGAACTATCTATGTATTCTTTTGAGTAGCAACTTCTACGGGAAAAATAAATATCATAGAAATGCAGCTGTCATAAAATACCATATTTTGTCGTATAAAATGTATATGATACTCAAATTTGCATGTAAAGGATTGTATCTATCCCCTTTTACCTGAATTGAAATATACTGCCACTTGGACTAAATGTATCTATTAGGATCATATGGGCCATCTGATCATGTCACTGACAGTCATATTGTCCAGAAAGGGATAGGGTCTCCTGCTTGAGTAGTGGATTGTACCTCCAAGATCCCTTCCAACTCTGTTATTCTGTATTCTGTATTCTAACTGTCAGTGGCTTTACAACATTTCTGTTTGGAATCTTTCTGAGTTCTCTCAGAATTTCAGAATTATTTGAAGTCTACCAAAGCTTCAAATATGCCAAATATCACATCTAGCCAAGATGTGCTAGAAAAAGGAAAGGCTATGAAATAGTAATACAAGATAATTGTTTTCTATCTTTGCATCATCTCTTCGGTACAGAGATAACTCCCACATTAACTGTGAGGCATTTCTGTCTTGCCACAAAATACTGCCATATTTGAAGTGATGGAGTCTCAGGAACTTTAAATATTCCATGATATATGTATCTTCAGTCTACTGCTGTTGCTTTTTAACCTCATTCAGTCATTCAGTCATCTTGAGGCTATTTATATTTCTTGACTCCTTTTAACCAAAGCATAGCTGTCTCTTTCCAATAGCTTTCTCCTTTGTCTTTTTGAAGCTTCAAGCTATTCCCTTTTCAACTTTTCCTCAAGTGTAATGTTATTCAGAACTATTTGAATAGTTCTCAGCTTCTAATACTTGAATAGAAATCCGGATAACAACTCTTCCACCAAATCCAACTGACAATTGTGAAATATGGTCTTCCTTTTGCTAAGGATTTATATACATAATTTTTATTACAATTATTTTATTTTTATTTTATTATATTTTAACAAGAAGATTAAAAACGAACACAAACTAACATAAAGGAAGGAAGGAAGGAAGAAGAAAAAGGAAATAAAAAAGCAAAAAGTACAAGAAAAAACTACAAAGTTGGGAAAAGAAAAAAAGATGTAAAGAATATTTACATTCTGTAATGTAAATTGTATATTCATACAAACATTCTGATATTTTTCATAGCAGTTAAAAGTATAAATATATATTTAATCTCTCTTTCTAAAGGTACTTCACGTTGCTCTTCTATTCATAATCTATTCTGTCTACTCATCAAAACCATAAATCACAAGTTATTTTTTCATTTTTACACAAAAAGTCCACATGAGGCTTCCAGTCATCCAAAAAATGTAGATAATGTCTTTTCTCTTATCAAAAACGTCAATTTACCAATTTCATCAAAATTTTTACCAACCAATCCTCCATAGTGTTTATACTGAATCTTTCCATCTCTGGGCATATAGTTATCTCACTGTAGTGAAATAATCTTCCATGGCTGAGATGGCAAGGATTTAAACTGAACCTCCTTACACAAAGCATGGTCACAAAGCCCAGTGAGTATGGCCAAATTAAGGAATGCCTGGATGTAATTCAGTGCTGTTCTTCTCTCTCTATCTTAAAACTGAACTTCAACAGGGCTTACTCCTTGCTAACCAATGCCTATGGTGCCAACAATAAGAATGCAAAAGAATTTCGGTTGATTGAGAACAGATCTGGATTTTTCATTTCCAGAAGATTAAACATGGACAAATCTTAAAAGGAATTAAATCTGCTTAGAATTCAAGTGTTTTAACTGTATTTTCTTATTTACTAATTTATTTGTCCAAGTGTGATTAGACACACAAGGAATTTGTCTCTGGTACAGAATAATGATAACAACAACAATATCAATAAGAGTGGTTCATTATTTATTTACTTAATATTTAAATAGTAAACAATTGCTTTAGATGTACTTAGGGGAGAAAACCTCTAGTATTCTGTTTGAGAAATGTATGAGGTGATTGGGTCTTAATGATTCTCCTCTTCCTCAGTAAAATGGCTTGAAGCTCCATGTTAACAGTTTTACAGGACATTCTCCAAGGCTGGTTCTGTTATGTTATGCAGCATTTCTTGGAATGACCATGTAACCCTGCAATATTATGAACATGTAGAATTGTTGATGTAAATCAAAAGAAGAGATGTGAGTCCTGGCTACCTGATGCATTCTTAAAAATAACTAGTCAATCCAGCCTCTAAAAGAGGTAGAGAATGTGTGTTGACTATTTCATAAAAAGCAGAGCACAAATGGTTGGAATTATCTGATAATATAATGGAATAGATTTTTGTTAGATGTTAGATAGCGAAGCTTGTCTTAGGTTTGCAGAAAAAAAATTGTAAAATCCTCATTTGTATTGTTCAAATGTGTTTGTACTAAAGTCAGAATCAAAGTAAATTCCTTTAATATAGCCGCAATATTTTTAAACACTGTGTTGTTTGGAGCTCTCTGAGCTTGGTTGTTTTCTTGCAGCCGTGTCATTACCAAAATTACCTACTTTGGTAATGAAACATCTGCAAGAAAGCAACCAAGCTCAGAGAGCATCAAGAATCCCACAATTCAACCCTGAGCTACAAATATTCTCCTCTATTAATTTGAAAGGCATTTAACTTTTTGCAAAATAGCTATCCCTGCAATTTATATGAATTATTTCCTTCTTTTTTAAAGTATGTGACAAGGTAGTGGGGTATTGAACGTATTGCATTGTCACCAACCTGAGGACACACATCTCTTGAGAATAATTGGCTTGGGTGATAACATTTCAAAGGTAGTGCTAAAAATTCTGTGCCCTGGAAGGTTCTGCAGCGGAATTGTTTATTATACAGATTATAAGTAAAAGTTTAAATTAATCAAGAAAATGCCCTAGTGGAAGCAGAGCTGTAAACAAGTTCAAAGATAATTTTAAATGACCTTCATATATCATTTATGATAGTATTAAACATGGGTTCTCATCATGGGTGACATATAATATTGAGAGACTTAGTGCTGTATATTTGCTCTAGTCCAGAGATGTGCCTGTAGCTTCTATTAATATGGAGATCATTGAAAATTCAGTCCACAGCAGTGCATTATATGTCCATATTCTGTTATATTTAATTTTTCAGCATTTTTTTAAAAAAAACTAGTCCCTTCCAAAAGTCCCTCCAACATCTGCAATTGATTTTGTACTGTACAAAATTTACTTTTTTTCTTTCTACTGTACATTACATACCGTACAAGGCATATACAAAAGAGGAGAAGGTCAAAGAACATGAGGAAGGCCCAAAAGAAGATGGAGAGACAATATCAAAGACACACTACAATGACATTGATTAACAATGATTGAGATGACCAGAAAAATAAGAGCCAGAATTTTGTATCTCCCTTGACACCTGAAGTGGTAAAAGAGAAAGTAAATAAAAAGACCACACATTTCTATTCTCTCTATTATTCCTCTTGTGTTTTTGATTTGAAATCATATAATGTAAAATACCTGTAATATATATAGTGGTTTCTTTTTTCCACATTATCAAGTTATTGCCTGATTGATTATGTGGCATCAAGCTGTTGTTGAGTTTCATCAACTACATAGATGTATATTCTTCATAATGATCAGTCCCTAACCTGGTCCTTCAAGTTGTCAGTGCACTGATCTCCACTGTAACTTAGTTCATTGCTGTCTGTCTTTTTCTTTTTCCTTTCTCCTTTCCCATCATTACAGCCTTCTCTATAGAGCTAGGTCTTTGCACATTGGGCCCAAAATAGGATAATTTGAAGTGAGTGGACCTCTAGTAAGAACTCCAACTTGATCTGTTCTTTTCAAATATACACAAGGGTTTGATGACTTGATGGCACAAAATCAATCAATCAATCAAAAGAATGATGGAGCTGGCATGGACTGTGCCAGCACAGAGCCCTCCACCTTGGTGGAACAGGTAATTTTAAGAGAAAAAAATCCATACAGCCAACTTCCTCTCTTGACATTGACTGCTTTGAACCTATTTTAAATTTTAAATTTGATTTATATGCCGCCCTTCTCCGAAGACTCAGGGCGGCTTACAATGTGCTCAGCAATAGCCTTCATCCTTTTGTATATTTATACAAAGTCAGCTTATTGCCCCCACAACTGGGTCCTCAATTTACCTACCTTAGAAAGGATGGAAGGCTGAGTCAACCTTGAGCCTTGGCGAGATTCGAACCCTGCAGTAATTGCAGGCAGCTGGTCTTAATAACCAGCTTAATAACAGGATGCCTTAAACCTCTGTACTACCAAGGCTCTTTTTCCTATGAATGCAGATATCTGAGAGAGAAGCATATTAGCTTCCATATATATCTGTAAGCTCATAATGGAAGATCATACCTTATGTAGAAATTGCATATATTTAGTAGGAAAAAATACACATTTTTAAGGTGCTGTTGAAAGATAAAGCAAGTGCACACACACTTGCTGAAAGTGAAACACCTTTTCTGATTCAGATTTGAATACCTTCATAGGTCTCTGTGAAAAGATTTCTCTTCTACAGATGTTTAATTTTAATTTAGATGTTCCTGAAAACCTAATTTCATTTCATGGATGTTGGGAGAAGAATCATCTGGGGCATAATACATAACGAGGAATGTTAACAATGTAATGTATATCTGGACAGTGTCTCGTAAAAGCAATAGTCAATCAGTCCAGATGACTTTTGGGCACTTAAAAAGAAGTCCAAAGGCTAGCCTGCAAAGGAGAGCAGAAATATGGCAAAAAGTAGTGTAGTCCAAGGTTTAGTTATGGGAGCTCCATAGGGCAAAAACTGGCCTATGTTGAATGATGATGTGCTTGAAGATGCACCCTTAAAGACAGGTTATTCTCTTGTCTTTAGAGCCTCATTCTGTCTCAGCAGCTCATGAATGAGATTTTTGTACCTAAAAAATATTGAGACCACTTATTCTTTTTTGAAACAGACTGCTTACTGTCTGTCTCTGGAAAATTCTGGAAGCCACCAATTTCTTTGGACTAATAGCTTTCCTTTGTCTGTCAGCTGCCTTTAATTCCTGCTGCTCAGCCCCTTGATTCTTATCTATCTTTATCTCCATCACAATCCAATGACTCTCAGTAGCTCACCTTTTAAAAAAATATTGAAATACAAAATCACAATACAATAACACTAAAACAATACAAAGAGACTTAAAAAGTGGCAACATCAAATCAACTTTACTTAAATCAAATTAAGCAAAACATAAAGGTAAAGGT